ACCTTCCTGCTAATGCTCCTGGGAAGGCAGCAGAAGATGGCTCAAGTGCTCGGGTGGGCCCCTGACACCAAGTGGGAGACCCGGATGGAGTTCCTGGCTCCTGGCTTCAGCCTGGCTCAGTCCTAACTCTTGCAGTAATTTAAGAAGTGGACCAGCAGCTAGAAGACCAATATGTCTGCCAGCCCCTTACCCCCATGGACCCTGATGCTCTGCCTTTCAAATAGATAAATACTTTTTTTTTTTTTAAAAGAGAGGTCTATTAGAATAAAGAGTTAAAGTTAAGATTATATCTTTAATTTGGGGTCACAAGATATATGAAAAAGGATTAGCATATTTGCCTAAAAAATTCTTTCTGTTGTGTGATCTATGTAAATGCGGATATAGTTGTATATAGATAAAACAGCTGTTTTCTAAAAATTAAAAACAACATAAAAGTTTAATGTGCTGCAGGCTGTTACTCTGATTACTCTTCCTCCTCTTATGGTTATTATTTCTATCGTTTAGTGCTCTTTTTATAGAGAGATTATTTTTATGATCACTTGCTATGCCATATGTATTAACCATTCACTCTACAATGGAATATTTCTCAAGAGGAAGGGAGCTTTTCTCAAACAGCAGGAGAATACATGACTTCTGCATTGACAACTTGACTGCCTTTTTTGGAACACAGACGTGTTCCAAATTGAACTCAGCGTATAGTAGAGAACAGAAATAAGTAAATATACAGCTACTTAACAGAAATTAGTCTAGTTGCTTTTTAAAAAAGATTTATTTATTTATTTATTTGCAAGCCTGAGTTAGAGAGAGAGAGAGGAGAGACAGAGTGAGATCTTCCACCTGCTGTTTTACTCCCCAAATGGTTGCAATGGCTAGGGGTGTCCCAGGCCAAAGCCAGGAGCCAAGAGCATCATCCAGGTCTCCCACTGGGTAAAGGGGCCCAAGGACTTGAGCCATCTTCTGCTGCTTTCCAAGGCACATTAGCAGAGAGCTGGACTGGAAGTGGAGCAGTCAGGACTTGAACCAGTGCCCTTATGGGATGCCAGTGCTGCAAATGCTGGCTTAACCCACTGTGCCACAGTGCTGGCCCCTCTAGTTGCTTTTAATACTAGAAAGACACGAATTTACGATTATCAGCCCCTTCCTGCCTTCGTTACTGGTCAATCTAGCTCCCCATTTCATCATTTCAACAACACCCTCTTAACAGTTTCATCAGCCCCTCTTCTACTCTCAACTGTTTTTTATACATTTTACTATACTTCCATGGCAAAACCCTACCAGTGTCTGTCTGTCTGTCTCTACACACACACACACACACCTCTTTTTGACTTTTTTTTCCCCTACACTTTCCTGCTGTTACAAATGCAGGAAAAAGAAACACAGTAGAGAAATAACAATTATTAAGCAGCACCTGTCAAGCACACATCACTGTGTTAGGTTTCATTCCATCCTTGGTACAAACCCACTGGGCTGTAATCGTGTTGCCTTTCCATCTCACCCACACACCATGACTTATCCGAGCGCTGTGCTAAGCTTCTGCTCTCCAGTCTCAGACAAGGCAGTGTCGCTGCCTCCTGCCCAGTGCTTATCTCTGCCTGTGCTCTGGCTTTTGTTCCTTTCCACTTCCTCATAGAGCCTGATAGACCACTATATGCTTTCTCTCCAGTGCGTCTGACATGCTTCCCTCTTTGTGGATCTTTCCAATTAACACAGAAACACAGTCAAATGTCCACTCATTAAAAAAAATAAATAAATGTCTCTTAGAATGACTGCTAATGAGAACAAAGATTTTTTTTAGTGTGATCAACATATTCTTAGATTGAGGTAATGCTTGTACAAACCTGTGAATAGACTAAACACTGTTCATTCCATCGTGCACATTTATTGGGTGAATTCGATCAGCTGTGAACTACATTTAAATACAATTTTAAAAAGTATTTTTTAGAGTTTATTAATTTTTTCGTCTACTTGAAAGGCTGGGCTACAGAGATAAAAAGAAACAGAGAGAGAGAGACGAAGACAGAGATCTTCATCAGCTGGTTTGTGCTCTAAGCCTGCAACAACCAAGGCTGCAAAGCCAAGAGCCCAGAATTCCAAAGTGTCTCCCACAAGGGCGGCAGGGGCCCAGGCACTTGAGCCATTCTCTGCTCCTTCTCAGGATGCATAAGCAAGAAGCTGGATCAGAAATGAAGTCGCCAAGACCTGAACCAGCACTCCAATAAAGACAACACAAGCAGTAGCTTAACCTGCTGTGCCACAACACCCACCCCTTAATAAAACCATTACAAATTTTTCAGAGGTCAACACTGTAGCATAGTGGGTAAATCTGCTGCCTGCAATGCTAGCTTTCCATATGGGCACTGGTTTGTGTTCTAGGTGCTCCACCTCCAATTCAGTTTCCTGTTAATGGCTTGGAAAAAGCAGCAGCAGAAGGCCAAGTGTTTGGGCCCCTGCCACCCATGTGAGAGACCCAGATGAAGCTCCTGGCTCCTGGCTTCAGCTGGACAAACTACAGCCATCTAGGGAGTGAACCAGCAGATGAAAGATCCTCCCAGCCCATAATTCTTTTAAAATAAATACATAAATCTTAAAAAAAAATTTCTCCCTTAAGGAATTTTCTTCGTTAATTTTATTTCATCACCTCCTATTCATAGAACAACTCACTATTTTCTTTATTTTTTTAATTGTTTTAATTTATTTATTTGACAGGTAGAGTTATAGACAGTGAGAGAGAGAGACAGTGAGAAAGGACTTCCTTCCATTGGTTCACCACCCAAATGGTTGCTACAGCCAGGAGCCAGGTGCTTCTTCCTGGCCCAAGCACTTGGGCTATCCTCCACTGCCTTCCCGGGCCACAGCAGAGAGCTGGACTGGAAGAGGAGCAGCCGGGACTAGAACCTGGTGCCCATATGGGATGCCAGCGCTGCAGGCAGAGGATTAACCAAGTGAGCCACGGCACCGGCCCCCCACAACTCACTACTTCCTACACTACTGTCTCTAAGATCACAAGTGGCTTCTAAGTCAAAAAAATCTAATGGGTACTTCTCAGTTTTCTCATATTCAATCTTCTTCCACACAGGTTCTAAAACATACATGTGGTCATGTAATAATATTTCCCACTGTCTTATTAGCCAGTTAAAATCATTTTTGATGGGGGCAGGTGTTCAGCTTAGCAATTAAGATGCCCACTTCCCACATCAGAATACTTAGTTGACTCCCAGCTCTGGCACCTGACTCCAGTTTCCTGCTGTTGTGGAGTCTGGGAGGAAGTGATGATGGCTCAAGCAGTTGGGTTCTCGTTGCCCATGTTGGAGACGCAGATTGAGGTCCCAGTTCCTGGTTTCGGCCCTGTCCATTGTGGGCATTTGGAGAGTAAACCTGCAGATGACAGCATTCTCTCTCTCTCTCTCTCGCTTTCAAATAAATAAAATTTAAAAAAAATATTTATTTATTTGAGAGGCAGAGTTACAAACAGAGAGAGAGATGAAGAGAGAGGTCTTCCATCCACTGGTTCACTCCCCAAATGGTTGCAACAGCCTGAGCTGGAGCTGCGCAGATCCGAAGCCAGGAGCTTCTTCTGGGTCTCCCACTCAGGTGCAGGGGCCCAAGCACTTGGGCATCTTCCACTGCTTTCTCAGGCCATTAGCAGAGAGCTGGATCAGAAGAGAAGCAACTGGAACATGAATCAGCACTCAAATGTGATGCCAGCGCTGCAGGCAGAAGCTTAGCCTACTATACCTCAGTGCTGGCCCTACAAATAAATAAACCTTTAAAAATATTTATTCTGGGGGACCAGTGCTGTGGTATAGTGGGTAAAGCCGTCACCCGTGGTGCCCACTTCCCTTGTAGGCAACGGTTGGTGTCCTGGCTGTGTCACTTCTGACCCAGCTCCCTATCTAATGTACCTGGGAAAGCAGCTGAGGATAGCCCCGGTGCTTGGGCCCCTGCACCCATATGGGAGACCCAGAAGTTCCTGGCTCCTGGCTTCAGATCTGCCTAGCCCTGGCTGTTGTGGCCATTTGGGGAGTGAACCAGAAGATAGAAGATCTCTCTCTCTCTCACTCTTTCTGTCTCTCTTTTTCTCTCTTCATAACTCTGCCTTTTAAATAAGTAAATGAATACATTTTTTAAAAATATTTATTTTTATGGCATTGAAGTTTTTTATGATCTGACTCTTGTCTCTGACTTGATCGTCTTTGGTTCCACACACACCACCTTCTCCAGCTGTAATCTCTTCTATCTATGCAGTTTCCTTTGTGTGGATATCTTTGCTCTTAACTATACCCAATAGTCTTGTCCATCCTACAATATGCAGCCCCAGCCTCTCATTTCCCAGAAAACCTAACTGGACTCTTGTTAGTTGCTTCATTCTTATTCTCTATGCCTGTTATCTCTTTAATGAACTTATCACAGTACATTATAATTGCTTACTTATTGCAACCTTCCCATTGTATGATGAGCTCCAGCAGAGTTTGGTGCAAGGACTAATCTTTGTGCTGTCTTTTGGATTTACCCTGCAAACGGTATAAACTTCTTCAGTAACCACTGGTGTGTGAATGGGGAAGACAGTCAATCCAGAATACAGAGAAAGGCCAATTACATTGAGTGAGCTATAGTATATGTGCTAACACTTTACATTTAAATAGGTGTATGTTTACAATCATATTTCTTTAATGAATTAGTTATTATTTCTCTACTATTTCAAATCATATCCGTGGCCTCCCAAATTGTAAGCTTTGATTATAAATATGATTACTGATCTCCTAATAGGTTTACACTGAAAATGACCCTCATTATACATAAGTCAAACATTTTGTTGGAATGAAATCCTAGGTTCAAGTCCCAGCTAGGTCACTAATTGACAGTTCTCCTGCTTAAGTCACTTTACCCATCTGGTTTCAGTTTCCTTTTCAGCAAAATGAAAGGGAAGGGAAGATGGTATCTCATACCTTCTATTGTAAAGATACCTGACTTTCAGTTTCTGTCTCAGTCAGATGACTTACCTCTCTCAACACTGGATCAGTTATTGAATTCAGATTGACAGCGCCTTCGTAGGTCAGGTAATAGAACACATTGAGGGCTCGGACAGCCTCTGGTCCTTGCTGTTTGTAGCCAAAAATGAGATCAATCCACTGGTGAAGCTGACAGGAAACAAATTCACTCTCCAAGGCCTGAAAAAGGGTGTTAATCACATGATTATACTCAATTCTATTTTTAAGACAAAGAGATATATTTAGAGCAAACAATAAATGTTAATACTAAATTTACTGTGAACATGACTTTCAAAAAATAATATTTTCCACCAGAATCTCTTCTCCTTTGTTTATAATTAAAATTTCCTACTAGTACTGGCATGCTAAATTGTAATTACTGCTTCAGGGTCGGTATTCTGTTTTTTATTTTATTTTTTTATTTTTTAAGATGAGGTAAACTTTAGGGAACATGAGCTGCCATGCCATGATAAACTTCTTCCATCTTTTGCTCTCACTTGTGTGTCCCCAAATCTACTAAATGGGTGAGGTTACAGATATACTCTAGTTTGTTCTTAGTCTTACATATGTATTTGAAAGACAGAGCACCAGAGAGAGAAAGAGACAGAGAGAGAGATCTTTCATTTTCTGGTTACTCCTCAAAGGCTCACAACCATCAAGGCTGGGACAGGCCAAAGGCAGGAGCCTGGAACTCAATCTGGGTCTTCCAAATGGGTGGCAGAGACCCAAGTACTTTAGCCATTCCTTGCTGCCTCCCAAGGTATGCATGAGCAGGAAGCTGGATAGGAAGCAGACGAGCAGGGACTCAACCAAGCACTCTGATGTGGGATGTGGGTGTCTCAAACGGAGAACCCACCACTGAGCCAAATGCCCGCCCAGCTTCAGGATTCTTACACTGAAGTGTAAGCTCTGGGAAGACCAGGACTGGGCCTGTCTTGGTCACATCTGTAACACATGGTCCTCTATGTTTCAAAGAAAAGAGGTAAAGCCTACTTTGGGAAAGCAAGTGTGAAAACATTAAAAATATACTATCTACTTGAAATATTTATAATTTTGCTAGGCTTAAAATACTGTGTTATCTACAGTGTAACCAAATTATTTCATTATTTTGATTGAGTTGTTATGCGAACAAATTAGACCTTGTGAACGATAGAATAAATACTGAATCTCTGTTTTAGGTATTACTATCAAATCAGACCAAATACTTGATGCTATTAATGTAACAGTATACAATAAATAATGAATGAACATAACAAGTATCCAGTTAAAATGTTGGGCAAAAGATCCACTTTCTATTTATCATTATATTACCAGTTAGTAGAAAAGTACCTAAAGCACAATAGGAACCAATAAATGTTTGCTAAATTTAATAAAAATACCAGAGTTTAAAAACTGAAGATATATTTCAGAAGGTATTAATGTTCACACCATCTAATATTGTTCAGAGTTATTCCAACATAAAAGTTTAGCATAATGGACCAGTACACTAATAAATAATATTGTTAAAAATCAAAGCACTATGGGCTCCGGTTTCTAGTCCCGGTTGCTCCTCTTCCAGTCCAGCTCTCTGCTGTGGCTCAGGAAGGCAGTGGAGGATGGCCCAGGGGCTTGGGAGCCTGCACCCACATAGGAGACCAGGAGAAAGCACTGGCTCCTGGCTTTGGATCAGCCCAGCGCCAGCCGTAGCGGCCATTTAGGGGGTGAACCAATGGAAGGAAGACCTTTCTCTCTGTCTCTCTCTCACTGTCTAACTCCACCTGTCAAATAAGTAAAAAAAAAAAAAATTAAAGCACTATCAAACTCTGAACGTTAATTAAAAGCATATCAATATACAACTCATAATCTATCTCATTGAAATCAGTTCTTACTTGGGGAAAAAGTAATTATTGCAATGTACTTCTGTTGTGGCTATTGCTACACTATAAATATCATAAGAGATCTGTTGGTTTTAAAACAAAATTGAGGGGCTGGTGCTGTGGTGTAGCAGGTAAAGCCGCAGCCTGCAGTGCTGGCATCCCAGTTGGGTGCCAGTTTGAGTCCCAGTTGCTCCACTTCCAATCCAGCTCTCTGCTAAGCATGGCATGGGAAAACAGCAGAAGATGGCCCAAGTCCTTGGGCCCCTGCGCCTGTGTTGGGGACCCAGAGAAAGCTCCTGGCTCCTGGCTTTGGACTGGCATGGCTTTGGCCATTTTGGCCAATTGGGGAGTGAACCAGCAGATGGAAGACCTCTCTCTTTCTGCCTCTCCTTCTCTCTCTGTGTAACTCTGACTTTCAAGTAAATAAATAAATCTTTAAAAAAAAAAAAAAAAAAACGGACTGGCACCATGGCTCACTAGGCTAATCCTCCACCTGCAGCGCCGGCACACCAGGTTCTAGTCCCGTCAGGGCGCCGAATTCTGTCCCGGTTGCTCCTCTTCCAGGCCAGCTCTCTGCTATGGCCCGGGAGTGCAGTGGAGGATGGCCCAAGTCCTTGGGCCCTGCACCCCATGGGAGAAGCACCTGGCTCCTGGCTTTGGACAGTGTGGTGCACCGGCCACAGTAGCCATTGGGGGGTGAACCAACGGCAAAGGAAGACCTTTCTCTCTGTTTCTCTCTCTCACTGTCCTGCCTGTCAAAAAAAAAAAAAAAAAAAAAAACCCTAACTTTTATCACATGCATCCAATGAGACATAAACCACCTTGTGACAAGACATTCCTAATAATTCACAGGTACACACTTGTGTAAATATATGCTGCACTAAAATAAATGTCTATGAGAAAGAAAGATGCTTATGGCTAAATACAAATAATATCTCCTTTAATAACATTTAATATGGCTTCACAATATATCACATACTACAAAATGTGAAATATAATTCTATAAATAAAATTCTATGCAGTTCTCAGATTCTAAAGTGTATTTCAAATGAAATATGCATAAAAAGTAGCTGGTTTCCAATTACAAAATTTACTGTTTTAGACATTCTTTATAAAATTCATTATATTTGCCAATCTAGTACACAGATAAACAGAACCCAAAACTACTTCGTATTTTACTTGAAGTAAGAAAAGAAGAGCTTGTGATAACTTAAAGCAAATTCCTATTTTAAAGACATGAATAAAAATGAATCTAGAAATCCAGGAACTACTAATTGAAGTTATACACAAAAATGATAACGTTTGTTTCATTAACTTAGGCCTTGGGTAGTGATGGGGGGAGTAGGGGGACATGTTTAAACTGACACATAAAAACAGCAATTGTCTTAATTTGTGTGCAGTGCACTCCACACAAAAGCCCTAAATATGTTCAAATTAGAGCAAGCTGCTTGATTGTCACTGCAGTCTCGTGTCACATTAATGCATGACAAACATTAAACCATACACTTAAATGGCAATTTATATCATTTAAATGTTTACTGCCAGACTAGCTCATCACTCATTTAAATGTGACTTTCTGACAGCTAATTTCAGTTAATTTTCTCCAATTCACTTAATTAGAACTTTCAATCAGGGAAGAACTTATATGTATCTTTGGGCTTACATCCTTTTTGGTTGTTGTTCAAAATCCAAGTTAATAAACTGAGGAGAAGCTCTACTATCACAGATTAGCACATAAAATCTCCAAGTCTACAAAAAAATGTGACTGTGTGAAGCAAAGTCACAGTGCGTATGCTCAGAAAGACTCTACGCTTATTTATGTAAAGAATACTCTCGCCAGTAGTTTAAATAAAAAACGTTTAGTTCATATACACACACTATTGAAACAATAAAAAAAACTGCATCCAAGCTAATTAAAAATTAATGATTTCAAAATTGTTTAATAAGATAAAACAGTCAGGAGTCTCCTGAGTGTCCGCAGTGCTGTGACTTGAGACTATAAAATTCTAGAAGGCTCAGCAAATGACAAAGTACAAATGAATTTTCTCAATATTAAAGCTCTAAGAACTAGGGCAATTTTATTTTATGTGGCATCAAACAAAGAACTGAGTTTTCCTAATGGTTGATTACTTCTTTATGCACATTCAAAATGGTGAAGTTGGTTAGATTTCAATGCTTAAGAGCTTTATATCTTGACACCGCTTCAGAATTCCAAGCAACAATGCTGAAAGGAAAGATACGGCGCGCTCATATACAAACCCACAGGCAGAGATAACCACAGCTCTGAGGTTCAGGTCCTCGCCTTACGTTTTCATAGGTTAATCCTAAAGGGGCTGACCGGTAATTCAGGGAATTACTGGCAGAACTTTTCACAGAGGTTGATAAACATAATTTCTTCATGAATAAATAATTAAAAACTAAGCTAAAACTTTCATGAACTGGACTCAAACATTTCTTGCAACATCCCAAAGCTTTAAAAAGCAACCCAAAAGAATAACTTGGATGGTTATAAGGGAATTTCAAGAAGTTTTGAAATAATTTCAGAACAGCCAGTTCAGAACTTTAGCATTATTTTGGTATCAGTGAATGCCTGTTACCTAATTGAGGTATACATTAATAAACAAATACAGTTACTAAAGCCTTGAGAGGAGGGAGAAGGATAAGCAGGAAGAAATTAATGGAAAAAATATGAAACAAAAATAATTCAAAGTGGAGTACCCTGGGATTACACTTTATAACTTCTGTTTTTGAGGTTCAAAAACATAAATCATAAAGCCTATCTTAAAAATTCTTTAAAATCTTTTAAATATATTTTTAAAAATGCTCTCTCATATGTGTGTATGTATAAACATATGTATGCATGTATGTATATGTACACATACACACATATTATATATAAACTTATTTAGCCCTATATTTGTAGTCACCAAAAAAATAAAACCATGCCAGTGGAATGCTAAGTATTTGAAATTTTTCAAAGCCTTCAGGACAGACAGTCCTCATTAAGACTAGAGTTAAATATGGTTTGCAGCTAGGGGATAGTAACATTCTTCCCATGCTGCTCTCAAACCTAACCAATCAATTGTTAGTACTCCCCTAGCAGGCTGGATACATCATTTACATCCAATGTGTGCTCTGAGTAAAATTTGTAAAAAATAAAATCCACTAAAATGTCCAACACAATACAATAATATTCAACTTATTTGAGTTATTATAAAATAAATCAGTGACTAATGCCCAATTGTTAAGGATCAAATAAGACTATCATATGAAGCCTCACACAAATTGTCAATCTGATCCAGGGGGACTCATATTAGTCTTGAC